ACGTTTAGAAAATTTATTTATTTATTTTATGTTTTTATTTAAGGTTGCTCTGTCTATAAAACTCATTGTTTAAACTTATTCTGTGTTTTAAGTAACTATTTGCTTACGGTGTGCATCGACGAGTTTGATTTTAAATCAGGAAAAAGCAGTCGATGCTTCAGACTGTAGTCAAAGCATCACAGGTCTAAGTAGAGGACATTTTCTTGCAGTAAATACGCTTGTCACAGCAGTTTAAGTGCAGGTAGTTAACAACTACTGCAAGTCTGCACTGCGTTTCAACCCAGAAGACGAACATTGAAATGAGTATCATGTCCTCAGAAGAGACCTAATTTTAATATGAGCTCCGAAACACTGTGTGTGTATTCTTCACTTTGCCAAAGTCTTTAAATTTATCTGGGTGTCTGGGCAGAAAAATCCGCATACAGATACTTCAGGCATTGAACCCAGACCCCTCTCAATGAGAGTCCATTTTCTAGTCCCGATACCACCAAATCCCCACAACACATTTCGGCACTTAAGATTTTTCTACGACGGAGCCAGTTTCATCTGTTGCTACAGCTCAAGATGTGTTTGTTTCGGTCAGATTTTGACATCGAAACAGATTCGGTCTGTGGGTTTTCAACCAGGGCGGCCCCAAGGTTGAGTTATTAATTAACCCGGGAATGTTTTTTTGTATCGTCAACGGGGAGAATAAATTAGTCAATTAACACTTTGCACCTCTCCATGTGAAGACTGTGATGGACGCGGGAATCCCTCCCGGGTACAGTCCCCCATGCTGTGAATGATCACATCGGGGTTAATGCACTTCCATGCAGCTATAAAGTTGAATTTGATTATCGCTTGGAGGGAGCGGTGTGACACGGTCCAGTATCGTGGTGTAGTCATTACCAGCCCTGCTTCGTGTTTGCTGGGTTCCGGGTTTGACTCCCAAGCAGGAGACCAGTTATATTGTTGTGATTAGAGATTCGATCGGGGGGGGGGGGGGGTAAAAAAACAAACAAGGTTCAACACCGCTAATAGCAAAGTCCTGAGATAGTTCCTCCATCTCCCATCCTCATAACCTCTCTTCCTGAAGTTCATATTTTATATTCATCTTTCGCATCGGAAGTTTCCAAAGAGACTTCCTCCTATCATGTTTTTTTTTTGTCCTAATCTTATGTGAAGCTCATCCTACGTTACGAGGTTTCTTATAAATAATAACAAATTTCAGGTCATATCTTAAAATATACCACGACAGGTTGCTCACGTACTCTGGAGATCATTACAATTATCACTCACCAAAACTCAATGCTAAGTAAATCTACAGTTTTCATCATACCTTCTAATTCAATGCTGTAAAAATCTCTACATTTGAAACAACTTCATTAAATAAACAAAGAATCAAGTCTCCGCTCGTGGTATAGTCTAGTGTATTGACCAACTGTCCGTTACCAGGGCTTCGCGTGAGGATACAATTAATTAGCATGACTGGTGATTTCATGTGCGCTGAAAGATTTCTCATTCATTTCATGCTGGAATACTAACCAGGACTGATGTTTTGTAAATACCGACGCCAGTTTTTCAATGTATCATTGCGAGCTTTTTCTTTCAAATGAATGTTAGATATTGTTTTTTCCCTAAGAACTCTAAATATGTAAGACTTGAGGTTCTCACAGCGGTGAGTACGAAGATTTCTGTCTTCTGGGTTGTTGCCGTTTGCCGACGTTTCAGAGGTCATACTGCCTCCATCATCAGGGCGATGAGTATGAAGATTTCTGTCTTCTGGGTTATTGCGCTGTGTAGTCTGGTCGATGTTTACCAACGTTTCAGAGGTCATACTGCCTCCATCATCAGGGCGATGAGTCTGAAGATTTCTGTCTTCTGGGTTGTTGCACTGTGTAGTCTGGTCGATGTTAACCAACGTTTCAGAGGTCATACTGCCTCCGACATCAGGACGATGAATCAGACTACACAGCGCAACAACCCAGAAGACAGAAATCTTCAACTCTAAATATAGTCACTGCTAGAATTTACCTTCAGTTTACATACTTAATACGTTCTTTGATAAAGGATCTGAAAATATAAACAGATAAAGATACCTTATACAATATAAATGAAGAATCAGGCAATAAACAAACAAATACTTATCGGCGTATTATATGCCCAATCAGTAATATAAGTAAATAAATAAGTGAGAAATAAAGTGTACAATAGAATACCATGGCTTGCGAAATAAGTAATGCGCCTGTCTTTGTTCAAATAAATATACGTAGCTGTACGAACCAAATTGCGTTAATTAAATTAGGCTTTTCAAATCTTTTGTGTGAAAGTTCATAAAATGACACATATTTTAGAGTTTTTCCCCCATCGCCCAGTTTTAAGGAGAAATAAAATTCGGAAGACAGGTTAATTTTACATCAGACAAGAGAGTGAAATATAATCTGTTGGTTCCATTGGATGGAGATAATCTCTATTCCTGGACTTAAAGTGGACCCAACAGTGTTAACGTTCACGTTTATACCTGATAATAAAAGCTAAAACTAACACTGTCATTTAAAAGTTGTTTTTATCAAAATACGAGACGAGCGTGTAAAATGTTTGTCAGTTTTAAAGTTTTACTGTCCCTACGGCTATCATCATCAAGAATGTTGATCTCTAGATTAGGGGGATAGTACTTTAAATTAGGCAACCTAAATCAATGAGAGTTTGTAGAAATGCAAGTGAAATTTTTAAAGTAATTCGTGAGGAGAAAATACCACTTTATACCATGGAAACGTTGAAATTTAAACGTATTTCATATAAAAGAAGCTTCAGTTTAACCGAGTTTAGATAAAAAAGGATAGCTGAGTCATTAAAGAGGCCGGTTGCGGTATGAGCGAAGGGAATTCAATCTCTAAGAATTGGGCTACCGCGTGTCTTTACCGGTTCAGGGACCAGTCCGATATCGAGTCCAATTGGCGGAGATTAAGAATACATGAAGCCTTATCTCCACTCAGCCATTTGTCATAATGCTTACAAACAGCAAGATGACTCTATGAAACTTGTCTTTCGGGGATGATCCGCGTCGAATGTGGAAAAATGCAACGTTTCGGCAAACATTGCAATCGCCGTCTTCAGGGTGAATATGTCTGTTGGCCGGACACGTACTCGTCACCAGTTGGTAGTCGCCCGCTCGCCCACTGTGCTAGTCAGATCCTCCGCTACTCCCTGCTCTATTCAGGTCCTTCAAAAACTCCGAACCGACATATTCGCCCTGAAGATGGCAACTGTAATGTTCACCGAAACTTTAGATAATTTAATGCGGCTGATCCCCGAAAGCCGAAGTTATACAATGAAATACAGCCGCGGAATCCTAAGGACAAGATTTAACAAGGCAGAGCAACCTTATTTGCTTTTGTCATGCGGTGATGAATCTTTGTTAGGACCAGGGGACAAGAATCGCTGAGGGAGGAGGGGGGCCTCTTCCTTCCTTCCTTCTGGTCTCTGTTACCCGCAACTTTATATTCGTATCAGGAATTATTATTACGTGCTGTTCACTGATTCAGATATTTCGATAACAGGATTTCAACCCCTCCGCAGGGTCAGTAGGGGAGGAAACAATAATCCACATTAGCTACAATTTGAAGGGGGAGGGGTAGTCCGTAGCTGCAGATATGTTGGTTCGTGACCAGAATCAACTGACTCATGATATGACAACACTGCATCAATTGCTGTTCATATTTAGAATCTGAAGCTGCAGGTGTGGTGGTCTTATTTCTTGTCCAGAATCGACTGTTAATCGAGTTTCAGGTTTTTAACGACACATAAAATATTTTTACATATATGATGGTCGTTAAACTGCAGAGGATTTCCAGAGTCGCGTACTAAGCTTTGCCAATTTTACCCACCTTGATTTCATCGTAATAATATTTGATGAAGAGTATAATGTATAAAGATACTTCCTCTCTCTTTTATTTATATATTCTCATGCTACGTGTTTTTCCCGTTAGGACTGATAACTAAGTTCTAAACCCATACAAAACTGTGCATAAATTTGTAGTATATTATAATCCTCATATTTGTTGTGTTGAAATATTAATGTGAAATATTTTAACTTCAAGGGTTACACTAACTTAATCTGCCCGATTATTTTGTGAGAGCAAATGTATTACTGTACTTATTGTAATATTCACGAGTTGACTCCCACCGTATTATAACAGTACCTTCTAATTATCATTCTATTGTCCCTAGGAAAGATCCATGTTTTGCTAAGTCATAGAGATTGCCATTGCGTTTAAGATATAGTTTATACAGTGAATGAATTCAACATCCAAATACACTTCTGTAAACAGACAACGTCTCAAATTATAGATCTAAATCTGTAAAATGTTTTTATGTTTACGTTAAAATTTTAGATTTCTGTGGTTATCACGACGGTGGGGATGTCTTCTGGGTTGCGACGCCATTTAGTCTTGTAGGTGGAGACCATCATCTCTGAGGATTCCCTCCATTTTCTCATTACGTCTGCTGTTTTACGAGCAGATAAAACACATGCCACTGACTTTAAGACCCTAACGTGAAATGTCTTTTCCAAGAAAAATTGTTGCAGGAGAGATTTTAAAATAATGCGTAACTCATTAGGAATTTGTACATGTTTCAATAAACGTTATATTTGAATCTATACTATGGAGATTTGTCATTTATGAATAGATATTGTTAAAGCTGTTAATTTTCGAAGGAGGGTTTTCTTTGCCTTTTGGGTTCATCGGAAAAACTATTTTTGGCCCGAAGGAAAACGAAAGTTGAACTTGTGTGTTCTACGTAAACGTAGGAAAGCCCTCAAAATGAACCTGGATGCCTTTTGTGGATTCCTCTGTTGGTAAAAACGAATGATTTGCCTCTTCACGCTGTAGCTCCCATATATTACAGGAGGAAGACGATTCCAGCACTTGAGTGGCACCCTGAGGTTCGTCTTAACAAAGAGAGGGTAATTAAATCATTAATTCCTCCGCCAATTAATTAAGACTGGATGTGGCTTCTAGGGGAGCCAGTTCACCCTGAAGGAGACACGAGCTGAGCGTGCTCTGACGATCCAACTGGCCGGGCCTGCTACGGTACGTTGAAAACTGGTGATAACAGATACTGTTGCTTCAAAAGTCAAGTTGGCTTTCTGACTAAGTACCAGGACATTAAGGCGTGTGGAGACTTGGAGGTAATGTAGCACATCCTAGACAGAGACAACGATAATTCTGAGTAATCATCTGAAATATTCGGCAACATATTCGTCTTGTGCGGAGAGTACCAGGTACGGAGCAGGTAAGAGACCGATTGATCACCCATTCGTTCCGGGAATTGAACCCAGTTCGTTCAATCCACTCCATTCGAGCAGGAATAAAAATTCAATGCCAGAAAAATTTTCGGTGGGAGTCATCTACCAACAGCAATACAAACTGCAATATTTTACTTCGGGATGAATGTGTTAAAACTAATTTATTGACATTAAATAACACACAAGAGAAAATAATCCACCTTCTTGGCGCCTGTCCACTTTTAATAAGTTCATATTTCTCATGTTTGATAATTAAGAATTTCTGTCTTTCCGTTCATTGCACAATTTTCCTATACCATTTCCCTCCTTTATATTTTCCGGCTGGTCACCAGTGAGTTACCTCTGTCCGGATAAAACGAAGAGCTCCATAATTTGTGCTGTTTAACAGGTATTATATTACGATTATTCGACCAATAAATAACAAAGATTGACAGTGCATGCAGTGCGCATGGGAGAGATAAGAATTGCATACTTCATTTTGGTTGTAACGCCTGAAGGACTACATTACCTTTGCGTAGATGGGAGGATAACATTAAGACAGATCTTAAGAAACTAGGGCGGGAGAGTTTGTACTGGATTAATTTGTCTCAGGTTGGAGACCAATGGCGGGCTATTATGAATTCTATAATGAACCTTCATTAGCTAAGCAACTATTAGTTTCTCACGAACTTTTGCATGGAGTTAATCAGTCACTCAGACAAGTGTGGTCACAGAAACCTCGACAACGCCATAATTATAACGTGAGACTTAAGATTCCGACGGCGTCGAGTCTGAAAATGCCTGTCTTCAGGGATGTTACGTCGTGTGATCTTGGGGCTTGCTGCCTTCATCAACAGGGCGATATTTGTGTATTAAAGCCTGTTTTTCTTTCAGAAATAACTAAAGAGCCTTATAAGGTCAACATGTTGTGTGTTTGAGTTTATTCACCTTTGAATAAGTTGACCAATTTCAGCGAAATTTGGTATAAGTAATATGCAGTTAACGGTCACCCTGTCTTAAATGCTAGTGTTCTATGGTCTGTAATGTCGTCTATAACACGAACTAGTGTCAGTATACCACCGTAACACGTCTTCAGAAAATACTCAACGTTTGTTAAGGTTATTTTCTTAGCATGTAAAACAACATGGCGGCCAAGAGAAATTTAACTTCCAATTTGACAGCGAAAAGTAATGAGTCATTGGAGATAGTAACGAACTTCTGCGTGGAAATGCGTTGTAAATATTTTTACAGTTGTTGTATGACTGTTGTTAAAAGCCCAATTCAAGAACTGCACACATGGCAACAGTCCTAAGATTTAGGTTTACATTTGATATATTTCATGTGAACAGAATATGTATTTATGCATGTAATAAGCTCATCTACAAAGTTACGTTCAATTCTTCATTCTCAATTATTTTCTTGTTATCGTTATTATTATTATTATTTTTGGGGCCCGCAGTGGGCGCTTGGTCGCTGGGACCGTGAGTTCGAATCCCACTCAAGCCATGGATGTCTGTCCTGTGTACAGGTAGAGGCCTTGCGACGGGCCGATCCCTCGTCCAAGGAGTCCTACCGAATGTCTGTAGATCAAGCCAGTGCTCAGGCACTTGAAGAACGGGTCGATCCCAGTATCCCCAGTCTTATTATTGTTATAACTTTTCTGTATTAATTATTGTGTCCTTGTGTTCTCCTGTGCTGTATCAGTAATTGGTCGTCTGATTTTTGATGCAGGTTGAATTGAATTATTATTATCATTACGTGTTATTATTAAATCTAATACAAACCTGTTGTAAATTGCAAGTAATATACAATTCTTGCCCGCTGGCTATTGAACAAAATGTTAATTGTATATCTCAATTATAAACTTATATTACCCAAATATAACATTAAAAATTTAACATTTATGGTACTGGAAATAACTAATATTATACTTTCGTTCGACACTTTTGTATTAATATCTTCTTGTTTTAAAACAAGCTTTCGCTGCATGATTTCCCCACCATGTTTGCAGTCTCAGATAAATCTAACATGGCACTGTGGTGTGCGCAGACGGAGCATAGAATGTGCGCGGCGTGCTCTGAACCAATCACCGACAAGTACCTGCTCCAAGTGAACGGTCGCTCGTGGCATTCGCACTGTTTGCGCTGCTGTGTGTGTCAACTTGCGTTGGACAGAGATCCCTCATGCTTTATCAAGGACGACAGTATATACTGCAAGACCGATTATGCCAAGTGAGTACCAGAATTTCTTACTAGCTGTCAGTGTTATTCTAAATTCAGCTGTGCAAGAAATTCCATGTTATGGAAACGGAAAAATTGAGGAATGTACAGAGAGAAAGCCAGAACAGAGGCGAAGATTGGAGGATACTAGCAGTCAAATTGATATGAAATAAAGACAGAACATATAGTGCGGGCAAGAGCCAATTGTTTCTCAGGATAAGAACTAATTGCCTTGTTTTTTTAACACAATAATAACTTTTCCGATTACATAACAAGTGTGGAATTTCTTGATCAGTTGAGTGACTATCAGTTTCCCGAGAAGGATCTACTCCATTGAACCTAGAATGCCCGTCACTTTCGCTCGTCAGCCAATTCCATCAAAGTATTTATTTATGTTTTACGTAAGGTTTTCTTAATCAAAGGTTTTAGTGGCTCAGATTATATGACATCAGATTGGATGATTATTACTGAATAATTAAATTCAAAATACATTGAATAATCTGCCATGGCCTATTTAAGGTGATTACTATCCCGGTCTCCACGCCGAGATTTGAACCAAGCATATTCCAAATGTGAAGCATAAGTAATGATAGCAGCTCGATTGTGGCGTTCTTTTTCTCTTCTATTATTTGTTTTAAGGTCCTTTTTAATATTATCATCTCAGTGTGTTAAGTAGGTAATGACTAACACTTTGCCACGTTCCGGGTTCGGATTTGGAATTATACTTGCCTTCCAGGCAAATGGCACGAACGTTCCTTGAAATACAACCGCTTTTTAAAATATTTTCAGTTCGTCATTCGCAGAAATTTTTAAAACAATCCTCAGTTTCCCAAGCGAAATTATGCATGAGATAAACTACAAACGTTGCCTCATTAGTAGTTGTATTTCGCGTTTTGAGATAAACATTTATCTGTGAAATTCGTAACTATTACTTTTGTTTGATTTTGTTCTTTTATAGTTCTGCAGGAGATTACAATAACGTAATTATTTTGTATGAATACTCTTATTTTAAAATATTCTTTTTGTGTAGAATTTTTTATTTTAACAACAAAGAATAACGAAAGTGTTTGGATTGTTCCGAAGAGAGGCGAAGTTGGTAAGAAGAGATAGCAGTAAGTAGGCCTAAACTTACCTCTCTAGGCCTGTAGTAGGCCTTGAGATTTGTTCAAAGGCTTGTAATGTGCTGTAAAGAACACAAGATTTGAACATATTTTCTAAATATATATGACTCGTGTCGTATTACTAATTTCTTTGTTTTAGATTTTATCCATTGCCAAATGATATCATCTGCTTCTTTAAGTGTTAAGAGGAGGGTGGGACGTATTCAGTTGAATCCTATAGATGTAGCTGCTCTCAATTCGTGAGTACCTCGTTCTTCCAGATCTTACAGAATAGTGTCACCCTCCCTTCTTACATCTAAGGACGACGTACGATGCATCGTTAGAAATTTTGTGATTAATAATAATAATAAACAGACAATGGGACAAAATTAAAAACAAAGAAATAAATAAAACTTCAAAAATAAATATGGGCCTTTTAGGCAAATCCGCTTCAGGGTCTTATAACATAATTTACGAAACAAAATAATCAATCATAATAGTAATGGTAACTATTTAAAGATTAGATATAATGTTGGCAGCAGTGATATTATTGGCTTATAATTCCCTCAAGTCCTCGTACTTATCGAAACTTTAAAAATAAAAGTTACCGCTCTGAGTACTTGTTACTGTCACATTTACTATTCATATATGCGTCATTCATTCCATAATCACCATGTCTCAGATTTATGAAGAACGCAAGATGCTGTGGCAGTGAGATGAACAATAGATCAAGTCAGCTGCGTTACTATGGGAACTGGGAAACAAAGAACGTAGGATTTGTTTGTGTAAGATGATGGAAAGGTGTTTACTTAGCACGGCAACGAATTGATACGTGATCTTGACTCAGAGCGGCCCCTTCTGCTTAGCGTGACTGTCTGGATTCCGCCTCTCATATAATTCACGATACTTTGTCTGCTCATGCAGTTTCATTGCTTCGAACAAACTATGAAAGGCGCAACACCTAATCCATGCCGGTGGACTCAGAATTTCCACACGAGCTTCTTCGCGCCTTGGCATTCTGAATGTTTCTTTTCCTTCCAAATAGCTTCGATGAAGACATCAACATCTTGAGCATAAAATTACCGGAGCAGTACACTTTACAAGAAAAAACTTAAAAAAAAACTAAAAGTAAAGCAGTCCCACTACACGCCATATGGGTCGTTTGGGGGGAGAGGTTATATAGCTCCTACTCATTCTTAACCTCAGCACTAGATGGGGTTAGTGGTCAGTGCCAGCGTTTAACCCCCGAGAAAGGACCCCGATACCCATTGTAGAGGAAGCTGGGTGGGCCCCAGACCCGGTCTGGACGCAGAGGCTAGAGGAAAAATCTTCTGCCCCTGTTGGGGATCGAACCCCCATTCGTCCAACCCTTAGCTAGTCACTATACTGACTGAGTAAGATTGAAACAGTAATTTCTTTGTTATAGTGTTTCGTTTATCATAACCTTATTGTTTAGATGAAGATATCTGTCTTCTGGGTTGTTACTCCATGTAATATGGTGGACGTTTACCGACGTTTTAGAGGAACTTGCTGCTGTCATTTGCTGGGAAATGAGAATTCTAGAAGATCACGCACACTTTCAGCATCACACGGCTGAACAAGCCAGACGACAGCCATCTTCATATTCATTGCCGTGAGAACCTCAAATTCCACTTTATTGTTGAGATGATAGCACAGTTGCAAATAAGGAGCGTCTACTTTAAGTTTATGCATTACAAATTATTTAAAATTTCCCATATATACGAAATAAGACATATGTTGAAATTTCTCTTAGCCTATTAATTTTAGACGAAAATATTCATGAACATTGCGTGTTTTATCTTAGACAAATGAAGGCATTTAATTATACAAAAATTATTAGCCTGCATAACACTGTTTAAGACACATATATGGTTCTTTATATCCTCGTTTATTTTAAAGTTTTCAACACTAAATGTTTAATTAAATACAATTTATTCTTTTAAGCATTATCAGGAATGGTTTGCTTTTGAGCAACAGAGTATAATGTTTGTAAAATATATAGAAACGGGGAAATTAACATATTTCCATTCATAACTTCACATAAACGGCTCTGAGGCCTCGACATGCATCGCAGTAAAACTGACCACTCACCACGCATTGCTTATGTTAACAAAAGATGGAGCCTTCAGGTCCCCAGTACGAATTGAGAACAGATTCGCATCTTCTGCATCCAGTGTGTTGTTTTTAAGACACTGACTGGTATGTAGTACAATGGACCACATGAAACACGTCTCTGACACTCAGAAGTCAACCTTGTTGAGACATTATTTGCATGTCAAAGCTCTGGTACATGGAACGGTTTAGGGCTGCAATTAACGTTTCTGACTCACATGTGGGGAAATATTGGGTTCCAGTTATAGTCAAAATTCCCTTCAGATATCATCGTAATTTTACTCAGTAACTCCTCATCATAGTGCATGCAGATTCCACCACGCTTCATTCCAAACCGCATAGCCTTATCAGTTAATACAGCGTCAAACTAGAACGCTCTGTACTTGTATTCAAAAGGAACGCGTACATGGTTCGAATCTCAACCTGGTTTTCGAGCAACAGGTCACATGACTCATTTCGTCCTCGATGTAGACTTATTTTCTGCTGTATTTCAAACAGTGCCAACATATCACAGGATCCACGCAGCAAAGTCCTTCTTAAGAAGCTGAGAGTCGCTCAGCTAGTCAAGAAATTCCCCGCCTCTAAAGAACGCCAAGATCCATCGCAGCTTTTAAAAGAGCCAGATGTATCCAAGTCACTCTCAATTTAAATTTTTCTTATACTACTGCATCTTAAACAGGCCCCACGAAAGCTCGAACTTCAGACCGCGTTGTGCCTCGTATTACAGGCTACCTCTTGTGCTACGTAAAATAAAGGAGTCTTTCACGGAGCCCTCCGGATTGTTTCCGATCCCTGAACTGTGTTTTGACACCGCGGTCCTATTTGGCACCACCATCTTGTTATTGTTGTTTCAGTAAGGCAGTATCATGGGAAATGTCGGCGGAGATACAAGACATTCCGTCATACCCCGAGGAACAAAGAATCTTTGGGGGTCAGCGAAGAAGAGGACATTGTCATGTCAACGAGATTACCGTCAGATGTCACTAGTGCGGGGAGGGGAATGACAAATGAAATCGTATGTGCAAGTCATGCATATGTGTGTGGCAGAAGACATCTTCAATCCTGGCCCAATGCCATCAGATAGCGGGTACAGGGAGCTTCTCTAATGTGGAACCTGGAAATCCTCTAGTTCTGGGGAGGTCCAATCCTCTGCTTAGTAATGACGGCCCTCACTTCATCACCCGCGCTGTGCATTTGAAGTACACCGACTGAATTAGTGCATAGGAAATTGTTTCTCAACCATTTCCACGTGACAGAAACTCGAAATGGGCTCGTGGTTAAACATCTCACGGCACACCGGATCATATATTCGTGTTCTAAAGTATGTGCAATGTGGTTTGTAGATTATGGTTCTGAGGTATGTGACTGCTACGTCCTAGGTCTATCTGTTAAAATTCATCTGATTCCTTCAACCTTCGAAGTTGTAAAATGAACCAGTCGTTATCCGAAGCCTCGATTTATTGAATAAGTAAACTTTGTTAAAAATCATATTAAATATTTTTTATCTCGTGGGTGTTTCTGTGTGCGGAATGATGCAGACGAAGATGCAGACAGAAGTAAGAAGTTTTCGCCGGACTGTAGGAGCTGTAAAAAGCAGCAACTCATTGCTTGCTCCCCGCCCCGCAATAATCCGGATTATTTGAAGTGGAAGAATGGAAGAGACCACTGCGCACAATGGTTGATCCACTTGTACCTGTGGGACATCAGAGCCTCCTGTCGTGCTGCCACGATGGCATCTAGCGCCTTTTCCATTGTCTACACAAGCTTCTGAACCATCTCTTAACATAAACTCTAAAATACTGTCAATTTAGTTCTCGTGGAGGTTGAAGAAACCCTTCGAGTGTTTTAAAGGAGCAGTTGCAGACATTTCATTTCTCCTGTAATCAGTGGCGGTTATTTTTATGTAATTTATGTAATGCGTTATTATTATTATTAATATAGGGTATTTACTTCCATGTACGCGAGACAAACCTTGCCCCTAAGGTACAGCAGCTATTTCCGAAATACATTTTGTTTTTAATACGCGTTACATGTATTATATA